GTAAGCTTTTTCCGTCTTGGGCTGGCAGCTACAAGAGATTCAAGATACTTTTTTGATGGACATACTAAGTCCCTGAGTTTCAGTCTTAGAAATGAATTTAGAATGAAGAATTTAGAGATGAAGCATGTAATTCTTTGTTTCTCCCCCTTTTTCTGGCTCTTCAAGCCTCTCACTGTTTCTGTGAGCCCTTTGATATCCTTTCAGTAAATTTCTTTTTTTCTTTTCCAGCCAGCATTGGTCTTCTGTGCTTACAAACAAGGACCTAGACAGACTGTTAAAGATGTTGATATTAGGAGACGAATGTAGGAAACAGAACCTCAGGGACCTGTGAGAACAGTAAATGAGTTAGATGGGTTGGAACTAACTCAGGTTCCATTAATTTTCAGAATACAAAATAATTTTTAAAATGACTAATTATTACCTGTCATCACCAGAATAAAGTTGTTTTTAAGGTAAACAACATTGTTATAAGTATTCATCTTGTACTCACAGTGTTGAATTCCTGTGTCCTTCAAATTTCAAAGGTTGTGATAATAGGTCCCCCATATCTTCAGTTGGAACTTCATTCTAGTGAACACAGGTAATAATTTTGTCATTTTTGAAAATTAATGGGACCTGAGTCTTTAATTGTCTGGGTTGCTGGTTACAAGCAAGAAAAACCACCTCTGGTTGGGAAAGGAATTTATTGAGAGGATGTTGAAGAACTCACTGAGCACAAGACTTGAATGACCTGAAAAGGGATGTGAACTAAGGCAACTCTGGAAAGCCAAGAATAAGAAGCCCAGCCATCATCTTTTATCAGGATTAGTTTGGTTATAATGCCAGTTATTCTCTTACCACTACTCTTGCAGGACACCGTTTTCACTGGATGCTGCCGCCACCGCTGCTATCACGAGAAACCATGCTAGCTGTCGTGAGTGAATCCTAAGCAGCCTTTTGCCTGTGTGTTTCTGTCTTCACATTCAAAGTCTTGAGTTGAGGCAGAGTTTAAGTCACATACAATGTACTGGATTTCGGTTGTCACAGAGTGAGAGGGGTCTTGTATAAAGAGAGGCCAGGCATTGTGTAGTAGGAATCTGGTCACTTCTATGATGGGAATTGTAGTCTTTTGTCCTGCTTATAGGCAGCGTGCAATTCTTCCCTTCCAATTTGTATGCATCTTCTTTTTCTTGCTTTATGGCATTCACTAGTACCTCCAGTACAATGTTAAATAGTATTGGTGAAAATGAACACCCTGTCTTCTTTCTGCTCCAAGGGAAAGCATTTTGCTTTTCACCACTAAGTTTTACATTAGTGCTAGGATTCTCATAGAGGCTTTTAACCAAGTTGAAGAAGTTCCTGTTACTCATGCCCTGAAGGCTTTTGTCTTAAGTGAATGTTGAAATTTTGTCAAATGCTTTTTCTTCATTTACTGAGATGATTATATGTGTTTGTTTTTTGTTTGTTAATATGATATATTGATTGATGTTTCAGTGTTGGACAAATCTTGCATTATTTGGTCATGATGTATCATCTTTCTTATATATTACTGATTTCTGTTTGTTAATAACCTTGTAAGAATTTTTAAATTTTCTTTTTCAATAACTTTGATATACCTTTGTAAGAATTTTAAGTCTGTTTATGAGAGGTATTGATCTCATTAATCCTTTGGTTTTGATATCAAGGTAATGCTGTCTTCATTAAACTAGTTGGAAACTATTCCATCCACCTCTATATTCTAGAAGAGTTTATGTAGAATTGGCAATAATTCTTTCTTAAATACTTGGTAGAATTCACCAGTGAAGCCATCTGGGTCTGGAGTTTTCTATGTGGGAAGGTTTCAAACTGTGAATTCAGTTTCTTTAATAGTACATTAGATATAATAAATAATAGATATGTTAAACAGGAATATTCAGGTATCAATTTATTTTAATTATCCTACGCAGTTTGCATCTTTCAAGGAATTTGCTCACTTCATCCAAGATGTTGAATTTATTGTCTTAAAGTCATTCATTATTCCCTTATCTTTTTAATGCTTGTGGGATGTAAAATGGTGTTTCCTCTCTCATTCTTGATATTGGTAATTTGTGTTTTTCTCTCCCTGTTTTTCTTGATCAGTCAGGCTAGAAGTTTATCTTTTTCTCTTTTCAAAAAATTAGCTTTTGAGCCAGGTGTGGTGGCTCACACCTGTAATTCCAGCACTTTGGGAGACCGAAGTGGACAGATGACTTGAGCTCAGGAGTTTGAGACTAGCCTGGGCGATGTGGCAAAATCCTCTCTCTACAAAAAATACGAAAATTAGATGGGCCTCAGCTACTCAGGAGGCTGAGGTGGGAGTATCACTTGAGCCTGGGAAGTTGAGACTGCAGTGAGCCATGATCATGCCACTGCACTTCTTCCTGGGTGACAGAGTGAGACCCTGTATGAAAAATAGAATTAGTTTTTGGTTTTATTGATTTGTTTTCATTATTCATTCATTTTCTTTTCTTTCTTTCTTTCTTTTTTTTGAGACAGACTCTCATTCTTTTGCCCAGGCTGGAGTGCAGTGGTGTGATCTTGGCTCACTGCAACCTCTGCCTCCCGGGTTCAAGTGGTTCTCCCAGCCTCCAGAGTAGCTGGGACTACAGGCATGCACCACCATGCTCAGCTAATTTTTGTAATTTTAGTAGAGATGGGGTTTCATCATGTTGACCAGGATGGTCTCAATCTCTTGACCTCGTGATCTACCCGCCTTGGCCTCCCAAGGTGCTGGAATTACAGGCATGAGCCACCGTGCCCAGCCTATTTGTTCATTTTCTATTCATTGATTCTTGTTTCTTCATTATTTCTTTTCTTCTCCTTACCTAGAATCTAATTTCCTCTTCAGTTTTCTAAGGTAGAAGCTTAGATCACTGATTTGACACTTTTCTTCCTTTCCTATGTGAGCATTTAATGCTATAAATTACCCTCCACACAGTGTTTTAGCTATGTCTCACAAATGCTGACATGTTTTGTTTTCATTCAGTTCAAAATTCCCTTCCTCCCTCCCTCCATTCCTTCCTTTCCTTTCTTTTTTGATATAGCATCCAGCTCCATTGCCCAGCCTGCGGTGCAGTGCTGCCATCTCGGCTCGCTGCAGCCTCCGTTTCCTGGGTTTAAGTGATTCTTATGCCTCAGCCACCTGAGTCTCTGGAATTACAGGTGTGTGCCACCACACCCAGCTACTTTTTTGTACTTTTAGTAGAAACGGGTCTCAAACTCCTAGCCAGGCTAGTCTCAAACTCCTAGCCTCAAGTGATCCACCCGCCTTGGCCTCCCAAAGTGATAGGATTACAGGTGTGAGCCACCATACCTGACCCCAGTTCAAAAAATATATATATATTTTTTGAGACAGAGTCTCACTCTTTCACCAGGCTGGAGTGCACTGGCATGATCTCGGCTCACCTCAACCTCCGACTCTCTGATTCAAGGGATTCTCCTGCCTCAGCTTCCCAAGTAGCTGGAATTACAGGCAGGCATCACCACGCCCAGCTAATTTTTGTATTTTTCATAGAGACAAGGTTTCACCATGTTGGCCAAGATGGTCTCGATCTTCTGACCTTGTGATCTGCCTGCCTCGGCCTCCCAAAGTGCTAGGATTACAGGCGTGAGCTACTATGCTTGGTCCAAAATATTTTTTAATTCTTTTTTTATTTCTTCTTTAACCTATAGGTTGTTAGATTTCCACATATTTGGGGATTTTCCAGATCGCTTTCTGTTAATTTTTCTCTCATATTTTTGCTGTCTGGCTTTTTGATGTATTTTATGGGAGAGACCACCGATTTGTGGAGAAAGTACTCTTCTGAGCCCACATTATATGGTAGGAGCCCACAGGTCAGTCTGCAGGCTGCCGAGATCATAGGCTGGTGGGCAGGTGCACAGGTAGACTGGGCTGGTCTCTCTTGACTAGTGTGAGAAATGGGGCCAGCCCTGCTGCCATCACTGCTGCATTCCAGTAGCAAGCCTGAAGATTGGAATTTGTTCTGCTTATGAGGCAGCCACCTCCCCTATTCCTCTTTACCACTGTGCACATAAGAACTCCAGCAGCCAAGCATCTACACTTACTTAGGAAGCAGAACCTTTTTCATAGAAATCGAATAGCCCCGGAGAATGTCCTGATGCCAGAGCTAAATTTCTTGCAGGAAGAGTTGAGGGCGGACTCTTGGATCACCCTGGTAGATAAGTAGGCTTATACAACAGAGGAGGTGGCCATTTTTGGTCTCCGCAATACCCTTTACAAAGGCAGCCAAGGCCCATAACACATTTCCTGTTGGCTGCCTGTATTCAACGCACAACTTTAGACTTGTGATGTGGCATGACAATACTTATGAGAATAGAGAGCTGTCAATTTGATAAGGAGTGAGATCTGCCATCTGAAAGGTGGAACCCTGTGCATAATGTGAGCATTGTCCTGTTAAATGCAATTTTATTTTTAATGGGCCAGTGCCCTAAAATGTCAATGGGTGACTGGTTTACAGATAATTTTAATTTTCTTCTCAGTGGATTTTGTGTTTTCTAACTTCTCTGCAATGAACATGTATTACTTTTGTGTTTAGATAAAATATTTTAAAATTTTAAAGATAAAAACTCATGGAGTTGTGAAATAGGAACATCAGAACTAATCTAGTAAGCATGACTTAAGGTACAGGCACTCTGAAACTAATAAATTTAACAGCACCCTGGGTTGATCATAATATCAATTTTGACTTCTCTGTGAAGAACAGTTGGAGGGGTCCTAAGAAAATCCCTCTGGTTCTGTTTCTCAAGTCAGAATGCCAAATAAAAAAAGGTAAAATTACACTGTAGTTACAGATTTAACAGGACAAGAGCACTACTATCTCTTCTGCTTTCCCCTTATCCCTCATTTGCAGATGATCGTGTTTCTACTGGTGGAAGGGCAGGAGATTTTAAACTTTCCTACTACCTTACTTTTAGAGAGGAGACAGGTGCCTATATTCCATTTGTTCGCTAACCCAGTTGTTCCCTTTCTGTTCTATCCACAGGCAGCTGGCTAAGAGTCTTGGGCAGGCTGGTGAAATTGAGCCTGAAACAGAAGGAATACTAACAGAGTATGGCGTGGATTTCTCTGATTTCTCTTCAGAAGTTCTAGAATGTCTTCCTCAAGGCCTGCCATGGACAATTCCACCAGAGGAGTTCAGTAAGAGAAGAGATTTAAGGTAAGCACCTGAAACCCTTTAAGAACATATTTCTCCCTTTTTGCCTTAACTTTCCTAGGGGATAGGCTTAGATGTTTTCATCTTTCCATGAACATTCAAGTTCAGTTCAGTTGGGAATAAGTGCTTCTGTACCACAGTTGGCAAATTATGGCCCACAGGCTAAATCTAGCCCACTACCTGTTTATATACAACCCATGAGCTAAGAATGGTTTTTACATTTTTGAATGGTTAGAAAAAATTAAAACAAGAATATTTTATGAAAATTATATGAAATTCAGATTTCTGCGACCATAAAGTTGCATTGGAACATGACCATACTTACTCATTTTCTATGTTGCTTATGCTGTTTTTTGCACTACAACAGCCCAGTTGATGAGTTGCAACCAAGACCATATGACCTGCAAAGTCAAAACTAGTTACTGTCAGCCTTTTACAGAAAAAGTTTGCTGACCCCTGTTCTAGACCATTCTAACTTCAAAAGCTACGGCGCCCATCTTCTCATTGCTATACGCCATAGGTCTGGTCAAGTAAAGACTGTTATCTAATTAGAAGTGCCTTCCTTTAAATGGGCCTCTTCAGGCATAGAGCAAAGGATTCAAGACTTCTGTACTTGGAGCCTCATTTTAAAGCCTTACTTTTAGGTCTGGAATTTGTTGGAAAGTACTTTTGTGGTATTTTTATAACAACATCTTCTTTGAAGATGTTTCTTCATTGTGGGATGTTAGTTCTTTTCTGATATTTCTCTTCAGAATTTGGTTTCAGTACTGGCATTCATTTTGGATGCCACATGGAGATATTTAGAACCAAGAAACTTTTCATACAACCCACTGAGGCTGTGGAAGGTTTTTGCTAAGGTCATCCCATGTCAAAGTCTTTACCACCACACTTGCTTGCTTCATGCAGCTGAACTTATGACACTTTCAGCTCTGGGTGCCCGTTACCCACCTAGTTTGTGAATACTCCCTCTCTGTACCCTCTTACTATTGTATCTTTTAGTAATTTACTGCCTTTTTCTTTTCTTATTGAGGTTAGGCAAGGAAAAGGAGGTGACCATTAGTGCCCTTTCCTACTTGTTAGTATCTCTCATAGAACACATATTACATTTGAAGTCAGTTAACCCATATTGCATTCCTGGATTTTAATAGTAACCCCTCTATCACTGAACCCCTGCTAGCACATGGGTGTGTTATCTCTTCAGGGGCTCCGAGGTCTTTGGTCCATAACGTTAACCTCTCGGAACCTTTGTTTTCTCATACACAAATTGAGGGGTTTGTTTTCTGAGGTCATTTCCTGAATCTAGGAATCTATCAAATGATTTAATGGGAAAAGAATGTTAGAATAAATGGTGGAACCTTATTGTTTAGTAGAATTTAGTATAGCCATGCTGCAGTATCTGTCAGCATTTTAAATGTACCTCCTCCTGCACCCCAAACTCTACTCAAAAAAGTGTACAAGAATGTTCATTGCTGTCTTGTCATAAAAGTTAAACATTAGAGACACTGCTAATGACCATCAATAAAGGAATGGTTTAGTAACCTGTGTTATGTCAATATGATAGCATTAATTGCAGCTCTGCAAAAAGGAGCTATATCCATGTTGACTTTCCTAAAAGAATGGCTATAATACATTATTAAGTAAAAGAAGCAAGTTTCAGAGCAATATGAATATGAGCCTATATTTTGTAAAGTAATACAAAAACTGCATAAATGTACACATATGCATATATATGTGTATATATATACACATCAAAGTATATCTGCATAGAACAAGACCTGGAAGGAAATAAACTGTTAACAGTGACTACCATGGAGAGTGGATTCAGTGGAGTGGTAAGGCAATAGGGAAGTGAACTTTGAGTTTTCATTTTGCATACTGCCATACTATTCAAATTATTATTATTATTATTTTTAAGACAGGGTCTCACTGTATTGCCCAGGCGGGAGTGCAGTGGTGCAATCATAGTTCACTGCAGCCTTGAATTCTTGGGCTCAAGCAATCCTCTGCCTTAGTCTCCCAGAGTGCTGGGATTATAACATGCGCCACCACACCTGCCTAATTCTTTTATGTTACTTTTAGAGAAGATGGGGTCTTGCTATGTTGAGCAGGCTGGTTTTGAACTCCTGGCCTCAAGAGGTCTTCCTGCCTTGGCCTCCCAAAGTGTTGGGATTACAGGTGTGAGCCACCATACCTGGTCCAAATTTTTTTTAAAGTAATTTGTATAACTTTAAAAAATTATAAATGTGAAAGTCACAAAATAGAAGTATTCCATTTTTTCTAGCCTTTTAGTGTACAGGTAAATAATACGCATGTTAGTGGTTATAGGGCCCAATATTGCTGTAAATTCCCATTGTCTTCCCACTTCTTTGGCTCTGTCTTCCCACTTCTTTGACCTTTATTGCCTTCTGGTTTAGACCATAGAATAAGAGGTCCTTAGTGAGACCCTGTCTCTACAAAAAATAAATAAATAAATAAAATATTAGCCAGGCACAGTGATGTGTGCCTACTTGGGAGGCTGGGGCGGGAGGATTGTTTGAGCCTAGGAGTTTAAGGCTGCAGTGAGCTATAGTCATGCCACTACATTCCAGCCTGGGCAACAGAGCAAGACTGTCTAAGGGGGGGAGAAAAAAAGAAAAGAAACCTTGCTTTGCAGAAAGCCTCGTTAAAATATATCTTAAATACACACACACACACACCACACACATATGTGCCCTGTGAAAGGATCCAAAGACAGAAGGAGTTTATAGGGTGCTCTCTGCTATTAATGAAGTAACAAGGATTTTTTTAAAAAATTACTTTTGGGCGGGGCGTGGTGGCTCACGCCTATAATCCTAGCACTTTGGGAAGCGGAGGTGGGCAAATCATGAGATTGAGACCATCCTGGCTAACATGGTGAAACCTTGTCTTCACTAAAAATACAAAAATTAGCTGGGCATAGTGGTACGGGCCTGTAGTCCCAGCTACTTGGGAGGCTGAGGCAGGAGAATCGCTTGAACCCGGGAGGCGGAGGTTGCAGTGAGGCGAGATCGCTCCACTGCACTCCAGCCTGGCGACAGAGTAAGACTCCATCTCCAAAAAAAAAAAAAAATTACTTTGGGCATGGTGGCGGGTGCCTGTAATCCCTACCCAGCCTCCCAAGTAGGCACACTTGGGAGGCCAAGACAGGGGAACTGCTTGAACCCAGGAGGCGGAGGTTGCAGTGAGCTGAGATTGTGCCACTGCCTAAGCGATAGAGCGATACTCAGTTAAAAAAAAAAATTACTTCAACCTTAAAATATGTTATCCTTGCCCATTATCCTCAGGATTATGTTTCTAAAATTCAAATCTGATTTATTTTACTCCTTTGCATTTAAAATTTTTCTAATGTTTCTTAATGCCTAAAGTAGTAATCTCTGAAGTTTAGAAATTATTACTTTAGGCATCAAAAAGTAATATAGTAAATTACCACTAATGCTTGTCTTTATTTTAAAATGATAAATGAATTTACTACATTGCTAGTCTATTATGTACATTATAAACATAAGTAAAAATAGAAAAAAAATGTGAGAAATAAATTTTTAAATACTTTCATTTTACTTACAAAAAGTATAGAAAACTGTATATAGTAATTTTACTTTTGGTGAAAGCAGTATGATTGAATAATATTCTTTATTTATTAAAATTTTACTTTAACAACTAGTAATATGGAAATTCAGAGGTCTGATTCTAAGTTCTGTATATTTTGGTACTTGGTTTTAATGATTATCATAATTGGAAAGGATATATGTTTAGAAGATGTGAGTTGTGCTTACAAAATCATAATACTCATTTCTCAGTCCTATTCACCAATTATATTCCAATTCATTTTGAAATTCGGCTAGTAAATTTCCATCTTTTCTGATGTCAGTTCTTGTTAATTCATTGAGAGATGCTGCATTTTTAGATTAAAAAATATATTTATAATCTCCAGTTACTCATTAGTTGTTATCTTTAAAAACTAGTTAGAAAATTCGGCCAGGCACATTGGCTTACACCTGTAATCCCAGCACTTTGGGAGGCCAAGGTGGATGCATCACCTGAGGTCAGGAGTTCGAGACCAGCCTGGCCAACATGGTGAAACGCTATCTCACTAAAAACACAAAAATTAGCTGGGCATGGTGGCAGGCGCCTGTAATCCCAGCTTCTCGGGAGGCTGAGGCAGGAGAATTACTTGAACCCGGGAGGCAGAGGTTACAGTGAGCTGAGATTGTGCCACTGAACTCCAGCCTGGGTGACAGAGCGAGACTCCATCTCAAAAAAATAAATAAATACAAATGATTCTATTAGGAAGTTTAAGTCTATGGATATGAATATTTTTGTAGTTTATACACTTACATCATTTTAGGCCCCAAATAATATAGCAATGGAAGTATTTCAAAACATCCATTTAAAAAAAATGTTATCTTTAAAATTTGAATATGTTATTTTGTTTTCAAAATGCAGTAATTTGTTTTCTTATTGTTAAAGTGTCACCTTTACCTTGAAGGGACAGATTAAGCATGTTTAATTTTCCTAAAGTATCTGATATGTTACTTATGACTGACAGCCATTGTTTTGAAATCATAATGTGGCTGGAGTTGAATTCATATTAGACACAGAAGAAATGTCAGTGTTGCCATTTTTCTAGTATTAATGATATTACTAGGAATATTAGTGGTTTAGTATTATCTTCAATATATGGACCTTTGCAGTAATCTTTTTTAGCCAGTTACCTTTTTTGCAAGGATTAGTTTAGCTAAAACTAGACAATATCCATAAATCCATGTATCTGGGCATGAGTAAAGACCCATTAGTTGCAGTTGGCAAAAGCATAGGAACTAAGAGTGCTGCTGTCATTGCCTTTGTGTTCTGGAATGCCAACTCTTTCATCTGTACACCTCACCTACCACCTGACCCACACATCTAGTGAGGGTGCCAGGGTTAATTCATGTAGTTATGTAGTGTCAGTTAATTCCTTATTTTTAACACACATAAAGAGAAGCCAT